AAATTTATAATATTTTTTTTAAAAAATTGCTAGAAATAAATTTTTATTTACATAATATTCTATTAATTAATTTTATTATCTATTTACAAAAAAAATTATGATTTAATATTACTAAGAATGTGCAGACGATGTTTGTAAAAGTAGAAATATTTTCTTAGAATACTACATTTGGAATTTAAATTTACAGAAACTTAGTTTGTCTAGAACCGTCTTAACCCCCTCTCCCAGAGAGGGTCTATTCGATTAACAAAACAATAATGAAGATAAACAAATTTGAAAAGGGCCAATTAAAAAATTAATTTTTTTGTGAATTGTCCGTTTTTATGAAAAGACATTATGTGAAGGGTCCCTTAACGGACCCCGGATAACATTACTATTGACGTAAATTGAGCGCGTGAAAAGTGATTATCTAAATGCATGTAAATTTTACATTGAAAATTTCTGTAGAATTTTTTTTTTTTTTTTAAGTTTTCAAAAGAAAAATCATTTTGCATTAACTCTGTAACGTTCTGTGACGATGTCGCCACGGGGTTCATACCTCGGTACCATAGTCACTGCCACGGACGAATGATTAGGGGAGTTCTTACTTAAGACAAACTATAGAGTCGACACAATAAATAAACAGAAGAGACTGACCGACTGCCGTAGCTTGTGCTTCTTGGGCTAAAGCTTTCTCTCTGTCAGCCATCAATTCATCCAATTCCCTCTCATGCCTTTCTTCCAGTTCAGCAATTATTTTCTTATGAGAGACATCCATCGCACTAAGACCTTTCTCACACAGCATCTACAAATTAGTTTTTTTGAAACAATCACTAAACTTAAGACTTTGAAGAAAGATCAGGACATATTCATGACTATACTTTAAAAACAACTAATATATATATATAAAAAATATTTTTAAAGTCAATTTCTACCTAGGTCAACAAAGAAATTTTTTATTTAAGTTACTTTTTATTCAATAATTTCAATTTTTTTCTTTCATATAAAGCTAAAATTATTTAAATTTAATGAATAAATTAATATTTGAAAGAACTGTATTAACACTGTCACTACAAGTTTAAAACACTACAAGTTAAAAGTATAAATTTGGTGACATGGACCACACGTGCTACCAAGCAATGTTCTTTAATGAATCTATCAGATACAATGAATATAAAATAATTAAATATTTAAATGTGCGCAATATACTATTATTTTGTGCAAATAGAGCTATAAGTTAGAAATGATCACTGATGTTATCTTTAACATGAGTGAAAAACTGAATAATTAATAGTAAAATTTAAAATAACTAGGAGGCTTCGCTCGCTGGCGCTCACCAACCCCCGGGAACTGCTTTCACAGTTCATTTTGGATTGCTTCGCAATCCGATGCTCGCTTTACTCGCTCATTGGATACGTTCTTAACGTCTAGCTTTTGTATACTTTTTTGAACACTGAAGTTCCAAAAACTTTTCACTGTAGAAATTTCTAAACCTGTACATTTCAATATTAATTTGAAATTGCAAACAGTTAGAATTCGGTGAGAATCCAAGACAAATGCTATTGTGTTTATGTAATGAGTTCACAACTTCTTAATTATACGGATAAATATGAAAAAAAAGTTTGAGAGATTTGTACAAAACGCCTACAATTAAAAATGAAAACTGTTGCCAACGCGAGAAAAGAAATATCATCGGTTTTATATAATAAGACTCATAACAAAACGTGGAATAGTAAAGCGCTCGACTCAAAATAAAATGGCAATAGCATAACACTTCTCATTTCTGCCAATGAAAAGGAACTATTTCAGAACTCAAAACCAACCAACCGTTTTTTTCTCGGCGACAATCGGAGATGTGGCACACCCATACTCGGTTAGAATTCGGTGAGAATCAAAAACAAATGCTATTGTGTTTATGGCAGTTCACAACTTCTTAATTATGTGGATAAATACGAAAAAAAGTTTAGAAATTTATACAAAACGCCTACAATTAAAAATGAAAACTGTTGCCAACGCGAGAAAAGAAATATCATCGGTTTTATTGATACATATGTACATATTAGCGCTGAGTGGATGAATAAAAAGTATTTTATTGAATAAGATATAAGGAGAGTGTGAACTAATAGTAGGAATTGAAAAAAGACCAAAGACAAGCTAATTTGCCTTTATAAGTATAATAAAGGCAAATTTTATCGCAAATAGTAAAATTTGCAATTTTTTACTTTCAGGATTGCTTTGTTTACAACAGAAAGTTTTAACAGTACATTTTATTTAATGGAGAATAATTTATAATAATTTGAAATTAATATTGAAATAGAAAATATTTACAGTATTAATATTGAAATGTACAGTGTTTTCACTACAGTGCGAGAAAGCGAGAATCTCGCATATTTTTTTCTTTTCTCGCATTAAAAAATTATTACTGCGAGAAATTCGCGCACTCTATAAATCAATTTCAAAATTCGCGAATTTCTCGCAATTTGGAAGAAGCTTCGAATTACGCTATTTAGAATAAAATCCGTTTCACTTTTCTTCCTGGATCTTCATTATTTTCAACATTTGCTCCGCTATCTAGCTTCCCTATTTACCAGTATTGTTCAAAACCTTTTCGAACAACCGAACCACGGAACCCCTTTCAGAACACATTTCTCTGCAACCACGTGTTTACCGTAGGTAAGGTTTTTTGATGTAAGACGTTAAAATTTTTTATGCACTAATGTAAGATGGACAAATACCTAGTGAAGGCAAAATCTTCTATGATGATGCAGCAAGAATATTCAATGCTTTAAAAAATAGAAGACGTTAAAGAATGAAAAATTTTAATTGAATATTTGCTTAAATAATTTTAAAGAAGGATTTCAATAAACAATGAATATGCTGCTTAACTTTTTTTGTAGAAAAGTAACTTAGATCCTTAAATAAAAAATATCTATGATATTATTGCAGTAATCAAATCCTACTCATAATTCATCGTCTAAAAAGTACTTGAGCAGTGACTGCATTTCAAAAGTGCTAAGTAATTGCTACATTTAAAACAAAACAAAAAAAGTAAATAAGTTATAAAGTAGTTGTAGTTAAAGTACAACAAAGATACTACTCTGAAATTAACATTCAACAAAGAAAAACTTATTCAATTCACCTTTAGTTGTTCTATTTCTTCACTATATCTAAGACGTATTGTTTCATCTCTTACTATTTCATTCTTCTGCTGCTCATACATGTTATGAAGATTGTGAATTTCCCCACTATAATGATTCTGAAGAATAAGAGAGAAATATATCTTAGTGTTCAGCAAAGCAACATTAAATTAAAATAACACATTT